GTGTGGTGGTGTGTGCCTGTAGTCCCCACTACTTGGGAGGCTGAGGCAGGAGGATCGCTTGAGCCCAGGAATTTGAGGTTGCAGTGAGCTATGATGATGTCACTGCACTCTAGCTCAGGTAACAGAGCAAGACCCTGTCTCAAAAAACAAAAACAAAAAAAGAGACAGTATTACAGAATAACCATAGCTATTGCTCTTGCTACTGATAAGCTGTTTGTATTCTCACCGTTCTTTTGTAGGTGGTTGCCTATCACTATTGCCAAGCAGATAATGCCTACACCTGCCTGGTACCAGAATTTGTCCACAATGTTGCTGCCCTGCTCTGCCGCTCACCTCAGCTGACAGCCTATCGGGAGCAACTTCTTCGAGAGCCTCACCTGCAGAGCATGCTGAGCCTACGGTCCTGTGTTCAAGACCCCATGGCCTCCTTCCGGAGGGGAGTCCTGGAGCCCCTGGAGAATCTCCACAAAGGTACAGATAGGGTTCAAAGGAGGTGAAAGATGGAGGCTTTGGAGCTCAAGGTCACCTCAGTCATGCTATAGAAATGATTATTTTTGTCACATTGCCAAAACTAAATGTTCCATACCTGATGTCCTTTAGGACACAGTTAACAGATAAAAGATTTTACTTGGGAGGGGCTGGGGGAACCAAATTCCTGCCTTACCTGCTACTTCCTCCTTTCTTTATATAAATTCTTCTTCGCATTTCTAAATATAATACATTTTTATTTTGGACTAAAGGTTGCAGAGCTTTCAGTCCTTTCTGTGGAGTTCAAATAAGTCAGTAAAGTTATGGCTCCAACTCAATGTTGTGGAGTTTCTATGCTTAGAAATCTCCCCAGTCTTCACGTAATATCTATTACCACATCAGTTCAGGTAAAGTGGAATGGCATCCAGGATTGCACAGCCCTGTGTATGTACTAGAAATCACTTAATTCTACGCTCTAAAAGATATTTCCAAGGTATAAGGATATTTTATGGTACATAAATTATATCTAAGGAAAGCTGTTATTTTTAAAAAGTAGAAAAAAATTAAATGGAATCCATCTCCCCACTCATATTCATGCCTTTCCTCCCTTTTTCCTCTGCAATTCTAGTGTCGGCTGTGGCCTGAGTGCAACCATTTCCCTAAAGATGGCACATGCCTTCACAAGTCTTTCTGCCCCATACCCTTAACACAGTTTGTCAGTGCTGGAATCCAAAAAGGGTTTGAGTAAGCATGAGATTCCTGAACAATCTTGCTTATTCCTGACAGCCTTATATACCTTTCTCAAGGGTTTTAGAAGTAGTTATAAGATAAAGGTGATTATAATTTCTCCTGGCCATCCTCTGCAGTTATTTCAGCTTCCATGCTGGTTATTTGGATATCAAAATTTCTCTTTTTTCTCAACTCTGATGACCTCTGTCTCTGTCTCTGCTACCTATTACCTTGACTGTACCCTAAACCTGCTTAAAACTTGGAGTTTCTCCACAAGTATTGCTAAGCATATTTCCCGTACAGTCAGTTTCTAAAACCTGTTAATTCTTCCTTCGTGGTGTTTCTCACATCCATCTCATTTATTTCTACCATTATTATCCCAAGAGCTATTCAACTGCCCATCACATCATATCTGTATCACGACCCCTTCCTGGTCTTATGTGGTTCTCTGGTTTAGTGTTTCTTTCACATCATAACACACTTAGAAAATTGTAAAAGTTTGTATAGCATACTAGGATAAAAATGTATGACTCTTCTTGGCTGAGTGTGACTAGCCCTGAGGCTACAGCTGTGCAAGGCCTCAGATGCCCTGAGGGCTGAATTTTAAGCATGCCTCTAACCCATTCATGACATGCCTGGTCCGGGAGCTCTCTCCAGTCTTTCAGATAAAGTTTCATAAAGCATTTCTCTGATCACATAATTTCCCAATTCAGAATCCAGTGATTCCTTATTGCCTACTGAATTAACTTCTAGCTCCTTAAATCTAATATTCAAGATACTTGATGACCAGGATGTAACCTACTTTTCAACCTTATTATTCACTTTTATCCTTATGTACTCTGTGTTTAAAACATGGCAGCAAATTCTTTGGCATTACTTCATTGAGAGTTGAGGTCTGTGTCTCCTTCCCTTATATCTGGACAGGCTTGTTCCTGCTTTAACCGATAGACTACAAAGTGATACTATGTGACATCTGAGGCAAGATCATAAATAACTATGCAGTTTCCATCTTGTCCACTGAAACACTTGCATTTGGAGGCATGTGTTGTCATGTGAAAAGTCTGACTGTCCTAAGTTCACCATGCTGTGGAGAAGTACAAACTACATGGAGAGTCCAAGCAACTGCTCCAGTCCTTCAAGTCATTCCAGATGACACCAAACATATAAGTGAAGAAGCCTCTAAAGGATTCCAACTTCCAACCCCCAACCTCAACCATTCAAGTAACCCCTGGCTGTTTTCAGTAGCATCAAAAAAACATATTTATAATACTTAAGAATAAATTTTTTAAAAGATGTGTAAGAGCTCCATAGTGAAAGCACAGTGAAAATGTTGTAAAGTGAAATTAAAGAATTTGGTGAATGGGGTGGGCACGGTGGCTCATGACCGTAATCCTAGCACTCTGGGAGGCCGAGGTGGGAGGATTGCTTGAGCTCAGGAGTTCGAGACCAGCGTGAGCAAGAGCGAGACCCCATCTCTACTAAAAATATAAAAATTAGCCAGGCATTGTGGTGTGCACCTGTAGTCCCAGCTACTCAGGAGGCTGAAGCAGGAGGATCGCTTGAGCCCAGGAGTTGGAGGTTACTGTGAGCTAGGCTGACACCACAGCACTCAACTGAGGGCAACGGAGTGAGACTCTGTCTCAAAAAATAAGTATAGAGGGCAAATATTAAATGGTATTGTTTTGCTTTGTCTCAAAAAAAAAAAAAAAAAAAAATTTAGTAAATGGAAGAGATATGCCATAAATATGGATTGGAAAATATCAGTATTTCCTCAAACTGGTTTATAGATTCAACATAATCCCAATCAAAATCCCAGCAGGACTTTTCTATAAAAATTGACAACTTTTAGAAATTCAAAGGACCAAAAATAGCCAAAATAATCTTGAAAAAGAAGAAAGTTGGAAGACTGGCAGTATCTGGTTTCAAGACTTAACAGGATGCCTGTAGTCCCAGCTACTCGGGCGATTGAGGCAGTAGGATCGCTTGAGCCCAGGAGTTTGAGGTTGCCGTGAGCTAGGCTGACGCCACGGCACTCACTCTAGCCTGGGCAACAAAGCAAGACTCTGTCTCAAAAATAAAAATAAAAAAATAAAGACTTAACAGTATTACAGATTACTATAATAATCATGATAGTGATGTGCTAGTAAATATTTAACAACCAGGTCAGGGGTGGGATCTGATTTGATGCTTAAAAATTTAGCAATCAGCTCTCATGAGTAAGTTTGAGTCAGCTTTAACACTCAACTAACAGGGTGATATTCATTCAAGGACAGAAAATAGATCAATGGAGGAGAATGGAGAGTCCAGAAATAGACCCACCCATTATGCAGCCAGTTGATCTTCTCAAAGGTACCAAGACAATTAGGAAAGAGAATTCTGTCATCAAGTGGTACTGGAACAACTGGATAAATATATGGGGCAAAAATGAATCTCAATCCTTACCCCACCCTATACACAAAAATTAATTTGAGATAGATCACAGATCCAAATGTACAAGTTTAATCTCTGAAGCTAATAGAAAAAACATATAATATCTTCACAAACTTGGAGTAGGTAAAGATTTCTTAGGACATAAAACTCACTAATTATATAAGAAAAAGGTGATAAATTTGACTTCATCAAAATCGAAAATGTCTGCTCAACAAAAAACACCACTAAGAAAAAGCGGGTCACAAAAGGTGAGAAAATATAAATACTCTGCGCGCACTCATGTGTGTGTGTGTGTGTGTGTGTGTGTGTGTGAGTGAGTGAAACACAAAGCACTTATATCTACAATAACTATAGAATGCAAACAATCCAATTTTTTAATTGACAAGATTTAGACACTTCACAAAAGAAGATATATCGATAGCCTAGAAGCACATGAAAAAGTGTTTAACATCATTAGTAATCAGGGAGATGCAAATTAAAATTACAATGAGATACCACTTCACACCCATTAGAATGATTAAAGTTTAAAAGATTGAACATCAAGTGTTGGTGGGATGATAAACAACTGGAACTCTCTCTCATACATTGCTGGTGGGACTATAAAATGTTACAACTACTTTGGAAAACTATTTGGCAGTTTCTTATAAAGTTAAATATATATTTACATTATGACCAAGCAATTCTATTCCTATGTTTTTACCAAAGAGAAATGAAAACATATGTCTGCAAAAAGACTTGTACAAGAACATTTCTAGCAGCTTTATTCATAGCAGTCAAAAATTGGAAACAACCCAAATGTCCAGCAACAGAATGAATAAACAAATTCAATGGAATACTTCTTAGTAATAAAAAGGAACAAAATAATAATACATTCAACAATGTACATGCGTCTCAGAAACATTATATTAAGCAAAAGAAGCTAGTCTATGGTGATAGAAACAAGAACAGTGATTGCCTGTTGAGGATTGACCTAAGGGAACCGATAGAAATGTTCTGTATTTTGATCAGAGTATGGGTTACATGAGTACATATATTTGTCAAAACTCATCAAAGTGTACAGTTAAGATCTTTGTAATTCACTGTATATAAATTTTATTGTAGTAATTTTTTAAACAGAATTTTTAAAGGTAGCTGGAATTTTTTTTGCAGGGAAGTCCAGTGGAAAACACTTTCAGAGCCAAAAACACTTGTTAGAGTCAAAAGCTAGATTTCAATTTTTACATTTCTTTAAAAAATGAAAGCCAAGGCTGGGCATGGTGGCTCACACCTGTAATCCCAGTACTTTGGGAGGATCTCCTGAGGCCTGGAGTTCAAGACCAGCCTGGCCAACATAGCAAGACCCCATCTCTA